GGGGCAAGAGGATGAGTTGTAGGTGCTCCAATCCCTCGGAGCACTGCGCCTGGCCCTGTGTCGAAGGCGGGCCAGACCCACTAGCGGGCGATGAGGGGGAAGTGGAAGGGAGGGTCAGAAGGGGGCGAAGTGGTGGGCAAGGGGGAGAGATAAGGTGGGAAAAGGGCTCTACGATCATGATAGCTGATGAGGAAGGGGGGGCCTCGATAGACAATGGGATGGCGGAGGAGTCTATCTCATCCGCTAATAGATCATCATCATCAAAAGGGGAGCTGGTCGATGCTCCCAGATGGTCAGAGGAAATGTGAAACTCCTCCTCCGAATCCGAGTCAAGCACAGAGAAGCGGGAATGGGTAGCTATGGGAGCTGACTGGAGGGACAGGTGGGGGAAAAGGCTTGTAGCTTTGGCCTTAGGCCTATCGAGGTTATCCTCCTTGGGCAGAGTGCCCTCAAAGGTGACCTTGCCCTTGCCCTTTTGCCCCTTTGGGTCGGGGCCGTGGGCCGGGGCCTTGCCCTTCTCCTTGGGGCTCTTCGGGGCCAAAGCAGAACCCTGCCTCGCCACACGTCGGCGGGGAGGCAGAGCAGGTCGAGGCTTGTTGCCCTTAGTATAGCATTCTGCAGCCCCATGACCTACATGGCTGCATAGGGAGCAGAACGTTGGGACTCTCTCATAGACCACTTTCTGAATAGTGGTCTTGCCCGCTTGGTCGAGCTCGATCTCCTTGATGAGCTCGTCCCTGAGATCAACCTCAACACATACACGAGCGACAGATAACCTCGAGCGGTTAGCCGTGGCGGCATCAGTCTCAATGGGGTTGCCAATGCAACTGGCAATCGAAAAGAGAGCAGAAGGATCGAAAAAGTGTGGTAGAAGGCCCGGAAAGCAGCACCACACCGGGACTATGGGAGATTCCTCAACAAAGGAGAAATCCGGGGTGTATTTAAACACCCGACCAGCACATCCAAAGATATTGAGATGCGTCTTAATCCAAACCGAGTTGTAGTCCTCTTTCAACTCAAAAAGGAGTAAATAATGATTATAATTGAGGAACTTAGGTGTCACTCTACCCCTGAAGCCCAGTTTGACCAAACCGACAGATAAATCCCGGAGAGAAGGGACAGTGAAGGAGAACTTCAAAATGAGAGCATTATCATACGACTCGGCTAGGGAAATAACAGTGGGCTCAGGGAAACTTACCTTGAACCTGCCCTCCTCGGAGCGGGTGATAGTCCCGCTCTGCTTGTCCCGGAAGGACTCCAGGATGAGTCTCTGATGGTCCGGATTGGCGGTGAAAGTGCCAGACACCGCGTCCCGAAATGATCGTGCTCCGGAAGGGCGAGAGCTTTGGGTCGCGGTTTGGGGATGAGGAAAGGTCGTGCTCGGTTCTTGGCCCGCGCTGCTTCTTGGCAGCCGCTCGCTGAAGTCCATAAAGTTGACGAACATTGTATTTTCCGGAGACGAGATGAGTGCCGCAGTTAGGCCTGGACCTAAAATACCGGCCATCAGTGAGGGTGGTGGACCACAGGTTGAAACAGCGTGTCCGATTTCGGTGTTAGGGGCGGCCTGGTCGAGCTGGGAGGCCTCCGTCGAGGTAGCAGTTGAGGTGGTAGTCGGCTTGTTGGGAAACGGGCCGGCGAGAGAATGGGACCTGGAGAAGTGGGGGCCGCCTGTCTGAATGTTGCTGACGTCGGCGCCGGCACCGGAGGACAGGTCGCCGGCCGGCGGCAGAATGTCCGGGGTGATGGTCGCCGAGATATGGTGGCTGTTGGACTTGGCTGGGAATTCTCGACTGTTACGCTGGGATGGTAACGAGAAGGGAGGGGTGTGACTGATGGGCTTGGAAAGGGTTATTGGG